AATAATAATATATGAAATAAGAAAATAAGAAAGAATAAGAGAAATCAAAAGAGTTAAAGTACTAAGTGAAATGTTAGACTAGGCTAGGCGCCTCTATAAGAACTACTAGATGTGTAACTAAAAGCAAAATTAAAGGAAAACTAAAAGTAAACTAAAAAGTGAACCTAAGTTTACATGATTTTATCGCTTTCTATTTATATTGAATTAATACATAGACAGATATAACAAATAAATCAAATATATCTAATATATTTGATATGTCAAAGATATCAATTATATCAAATATGTTCAGTATATCAAATATATCAAATATATCTGATATGTTTGACATTTAGATCTGCAATATACTGCATCACATTCGCCAATCCAATCCTGTTATAATAGTTATAAAACATAAAGGAAGGTCTTCAAACAATATAAATTTAATGTTAAAATAGTTCAATCTAAAGTGTTATATAAATGAATTAATATAATTAATAATAATAAAAATAATCAAGTAATTATAAATATATATAACTGAAAATGTAACAAATACAAATAAATAAATCAATATGCTAAATGATATTCATATTAATTTAAATTAAAATATAATAGCTATTATATAATAAATAAATAATAAAATATTAAATTTATTAAAAAAAAATTTACAATATTATTATATAATCATAAATAGAATATATATCTATTAATAAATTTAATAAAGTAATTATTTTATAAATAATAATAAATAATTAATATTAATTTAAAATATAAATAAAAAAATACTTTAATTAAAATTTTTAATTTTAAAAAATTATAATACTTTTAGAAAAATATTTAATTAGCTATCAAAGTCTTAAAAAAATATATAATATATTTTTTATTTAATTAAATATTCTTAATAAAGAATATATCTTTTCAATTTAATATTTTTAATAAAAAAATAAATTTAAGTAAAGTTTTCATTTATTAATTTATTTATTATAATTATTATTAAATATTTATAGCTTAATAATTATTTAGATATAATAAAATAATTTTATATAAATAAAGTAACTTTATAAATAAAAAATATTAATAATTAGAATCATCTTGTAATTATATACATTTTTTATATTTTAATTAATAAATATTTCTTTTATCTTATAAATGATTATTTTTAATTTTTTTCTTATTTTATTTTATTGATTTTTTTATTTATTATTTTAATAAATTATATTATTTTAATTTGTATTTTATATAAATTTTTAATCAAAAAGTATTTAATACTTTGAAAATACTTTATATTAAAATCTAATTATATGATTTATTATATAAATTTTGAAGAAGTTAATTCTCTCATATATCTTATTTAACTGTTGTAATTTATATTATCATTAATAATATCTTAATATAAAATTAAAATTTATTTTATTTATGATGTAACTCTTTAAATATATATTTTTAAAAAATATATAAATATATAAATATTATATAAAAAGTTTTTTTAAATATATATTTAAAGAAGATTAATGATAATAAATTATTAAATTTGATTTATTATCAATTAATATAATTTGTTTTTATTTATTAAATAAATAAAATTAATTTTAATATAATAAAAAAAATAATAAATGATAAAAATGATAAAAGTTTTATATTTATATATGTCATTTATATTTTTATGACATTTTTATTATAATTATTTATTTTATTTTTATATTTTTATATTTTTTATTTCTTTAATAATTTTATATAATAATTATTATATAAATAAGATAATTTGATTTGATCTACTGAAAACATTTATGTATTAATTATTATTAATAATTTACCTAACTTTAAATAAAATTTAATCTTTTTTATTATCTTATATTATTTAATTACTTATAATTCATAAACAACTTTAAAACTAAATTAATATTCTATATTTATTTTTAAAATAAACTTTTAAATTTTTAATAATTTTATTATTATATTAAAGGAATTATTTACCTTTGTAATAATTTTTAAAATTTAAGGTTTATTAAAAAAAAATAGAATCAATTATAATTAATATTAAAAAAAGGTTAATATAATTGTAGATGAAAGAAAAATAAATATTTGAAGTAAATAAGAGATTAATTTAAGGAATAATGAATAATTTTATCAGTTAAAGTAAAATTATCAGTTAATTGGTTTATTATGATTGATCTTTTTCCAAATGACAAGATTGCAAACAAGAACATCAAATCAGTATTAGTGTGATAATAAAGAATAATATTCCAGCTCAATTTTATATTATATATATTACATTCTACTTACACCACCTAAACCACCACCTTTGACTTGTTCATTATAAATAATACTCAAACAAAATCCTAAAATAACTCTAGTCATTCTAGGATCAATTATGCCATCATCTAATAATCTTGAACTTGTCCAATAAGCATCAGACTCATTTTCTACCATTGACCGAAAAATTTCTTTTCTTGCTGCCGCTGATTCTTCATCAATTGGTTTACCTGATCTAATACAAAGTATATGTTATAAATTATAAATTAAATTAAATTAATACCTTATAAATTATTATTACCTAGAAGAAGATTCTCTCATGATAATATCCATAACACCAGTTAATTGATCAGGTCCCATAACGGAACATTTACTATTTGGCCACGAAAATAGAAACCTATAGAAAATAGAATAAAACAAAAATTGAAAAATTTAAATTATTATATTTAAATTGGGTCATACTTTAAATTTTCATTACCTCGGATTGTAAGCTCTACCACACATTGCATAATTACCAGCACCATAAGAAGCACCCATCATAATTGTGATAGCTGGTACTTCACTATTACTTACAGCATTAACAAAATGTACTCCAGCTTTTATAATACCTTCTTCTTCATATTTTTTCCCTACCATAAATCCTGTAGTATTTTGAAGAAAAAGAAGTGGTACATTCCTAAATCATAAATTTGAAACACGATTTAGATTTTTTTTTGTCTTTTCTTTTTTTAAGGTATTGACTTACATCATATTACATAATCTAATAAATTGTGTAGCTTTATTAGCTTCTTGTGTAAATATAACATTATTATTCGCAATCAAGCCCACTTGAAACCCTGAAAATCATACGCACGTATGAAAAATATGAATACAAATTTAAATTAGAATAATCTCTTTCCAGTATCTCGTAAAATTTACCATGAACGTAGGCCCATCCCGTAATAATATTCGGACCATATAGCGGTTTAAAAGGTGTAAATCTTGAGCCATCAACTATGCGAGCAATCACCTCAATAGCATCAAAAGGAACTTTAATATTTGCAGAAACAAATCCTAGCAATTCATCTTTAATAAAATAGACACAACCTATCAATTTTTTTATTTCAAAAAAAAAAAATTACTAATTCTCAAAATGTGCCTACCGGCATCATACAAAGGTTCTTCGATCCTAGGGAAAAGATGAGTAGCGGGAACCTTCCCTTTCTTTTGCCAATTCAATCTTCCAATAAATTCTCTCGCTTTCTTAATAGCATCATATTCATCTAAAGCTAATTGATCACTTACTCCTGATTTCCTGCTGTGCATATCAGCACCACCTAAACTTTCAGCATCAACGATTTCACCAGTTGCCATTTGTACAAGAGGAGGTCCTCCGAGAAATACTTGAGCTTGATTTTTTACCATAATAACATAATCGCTTAAACTAGGAGCATAAGCTCCACCTGCCGTACTGCTACCAAATACTACGCTACAAGTTGGTAAATTCAATTTCGTCCTCTGGGACAACATACGAAATTGTCCACCACCCGGATGAAATACTCTTGATTGTTGATCTAATTTTGCTCCTCCTGTTTGAATTAATTGTATAAATGGCAAATTATTTTCTATTGAAATTGCTGCTATCCTTGCCCCTTTTGCAACGCTAATCTCATTTGAGGATCCTCCAAATAATGTTGGTACATTTCCTGATATCATACATTCCACTCCATTTACTAATCCGATACCTGCTACTATTGATCCACCTAGTGTCATTTCATCTTGACCCCATCCTGCAAATGGACATAATTCCAAGAAAGGCGAATCTTCATCTAATAAAAGATCAATTCTATCACGAATTAATAATTGTCCCCTTTTTAAATGTTGTGCTATTGCTTTTTTGCTGCCTTGTTTTGTTGCTTGAGCCAATCGATCATTTAATGTAGAAATCATTGAAAGCATTTCTTTATAATTTTCATGATACGTTTCATCTTTAATTATTTTGGATTTTATAATTGGAATATCTGTTGGAGTTGCCATTTTATAACAATACTAATTATTAATTTATTTTATTAAATCAACCAAAACAACTACTTTATTATTGAAATAAATAAAGCGATATTAATACGAAATACTTTTGCAAGTTATTTATTATTTAAACAATTGGGAAGTTTTTTTTTTTTAAAAAAAAAAAATATATATATAAATAAATTAGGCTTTAGATCGACAAAATAAATTTGCCAAAGTAATCCGCGCAGCAAATTGTTTAATTGTGGTAGTAAATTAATTAAAATACAAATTATGCTTTCAAATGCATTTGTTTCTTTAATTATAATTAATGCACTTGATTGACTTCGTAAAGGTAAAAATATAATTTGAATGATACAATTAATCTCTTAATACTATATATGTGTAAAAAAAAAAAAAAAAAAAAAAAACAGAGAAAAGAAAAGGAAAAAAAATCCTTCTGGTTAACACGTCTGAAGACGAAATATAAAAAAAAGCTAATATATTTACAAACCTTCGACTAACTTTACACCCCCATAAGAAGCTGCCGCTGCTAAAGCACCTACAAGCGCGGTTTGTATTGCACTTGATATTGCATTATTTGGTGATGTGTATGCAGCCTTAACGAACCCAAACACAATTAAGCAAAATATTGTAATAACGCTACTAACTAATAAAGCTAAAGTTGTATCTTCCATAAAGAAGTATGGTATTAGAGGAACAAGACCGCCAATAAAATAGGATATTCCAATCGTAAACGCACTTTTCTGTGATAAAGTAAAAATAAAAAAAAAATTAATGATAATTTTTTTTGGTAGAAGGCAAACAGATATAAATAATCACCAAAGAACGAGAAGGATCGGGTCTTTCAAGATTCAATTCAAATTTCATCATAAAATCAACGAATTTTTCAGGATTATCTTTTAATTTCTCAATAATTGGAGCCACAGTTTCTTCATCCAACCCATAAGGTGACAATATATCTATTTACGCATTTATAAAAATCCTTAATTAAAAGCTCTTTTTTTCTTTACTAGGAAAAAAAGGATAAAATAAATAAAATCGGAAAGGATATATAAATACATGTACAAACCTACAATTTCCTGAATTTCGGCACTTAAACAGTTTTTCACCTCCCTGAAATTATTCTTCATTGAATATCAATTATTTTTTAAAAATGATATTTTTTGAAATTAAATAAACAATACCATTCTTCCCGACGTCTTTCGGTATCATAATGATCTAAATCAGATTTCGCTGCCAAATATCCACCACATCCCATTGAAATCGAGCCGGAAATAAGTTCTAATTTAAAAAAGATTTAAACGAATCTTAATTACGGAAATAAGTAAATGCGGAAATATAACTTCCAAAGATAATAACGTACCAGCAAAACCTCCAATAATAACGACACGAGGATCTCCCAAAGAAGATAATCCAGCTGCTAAAGCAAATGGTACCTAATAAAGAAAATCCCCCAAATACGAATAAAGAAAAATGTAAATAAATAATCAAAATTTTCAAGACTCTAACCAACAATTTGTACATTTTAGGAGCTTATTTAAAATAACTTGCAGTTAATCCATCACTTAATCCAAGAACAATATCTCTAATAATTTCAGGCGATTCAAAGTGATGTTCTATATGTTGATTGCTTTCTGGTATTGATTGATAATGATGAGATGATTTTCGCAAGAATAAAGGTAGAAGTAAACTCATTTCTGTGGCAAATTTTTTAAATTAAGAGAAAATAAAAATTTGGGAAAGAGATGATTGACGATCTTGTAAAATGCATTTCAAAATTTGATGGTGATTTATAGAATTTACATAAATATTACGCAATTAGATTTAGATTGATCAAAGTTATCAACTGACGTAACTATAAATTAGCTCATAACTAATTAACCAATTCAATTTTCCGAGATCATAAACATATGCTAATGAAATTCAAACACGTGAAATGATTTTGCATCGCACGAACTCTTAATGTTTTTAACCTAACTTGATTTCTGGTCAAACGGATTAAAGATATGTATTTAAATACCGTAGCAAATTTTTGCTTATTAATACAGTTGCCAATAATTGAGTATTGCTTATCGTAATATCGTTATCAATGAAAATCATATAGGACTCAAAAATCGTAAATGAAAATTATCAAACTA